AAAATCATACTGTATTACTACAATAAATGTTAACAATTTTAAACAATTAAGACTATTTTTTTTCTTTTCTATATTATAGTGGCTGCAATATTAATGTCTTAAATTTTCAATATTTGAGCTTATTTTCTTTAATTCTGACATGATAAAAAAATTGGGAGCATTTGAGATCTTGGTCCCCAGCATATGTTATCCATTTGGCTGAAATAAACTCTTATAAAAATTTAAAGAAAAAGGGAAGGAAAATTTTAGGGAAGTACCTGAGATTTTAATGCATGTATATTTGGCATATTATGGAAAATTAGGCAGAAAGTATCAATTCTTAAAAATTGTGCCCAGAAATCATGTAAAGCAAGTAGGAATACAGGTTATAAAATATTCAATACAATATTGTATTAAATCGTTAAATTCTGAACCTGAATTTCAATAAAATTTTAAAGGTAATTATAGTTGTCTTTGTGTAACTTCATGGCAGTCTGATTTTATAACTGGTTCTTGGCATTTTTAATTTGGGCAAAGAAAAAATATGTAACTGGTTTATGTAGATGCCTAAAAACAAATGAAAACTGATATATTCATAACATGTATTCATATCAAGATGCAAGTTCAGATGAGTGTAGGGATAGAGCTCTTTTTTCCCCTTTTCTTTATTTCTTAAATTAAAAAAAAATGTTAGACATTTATACAATCCATGAAGTGATCCCCCCAATCACTCTATGCCAAGATACATTATAATCAAACTTCGAAAAGCCAAACACATAATTTTGAAAGCAGAAGAGAAAAGAGGCTCATTACATACAAGGGAATCTTAATAAGAAAATAAGCAAATTTCTCATCAGAAACTGTGGAGGCCAGAAGGCAGGAGGCTGATACATTCACAGTGCTAAAAGAAATAAACTGTCAACCAAGAATCCTATAGATGTAGCAAAACTGTCCTTTGAAAGTGAGGGAGAAATTAAGACAGTCCCAGATAAACAAAAGCTGAGGGTGTTCATTACCACTAGACCTGTCCTGCAAGAAATGCTCAAGGGAGTTCTGTAGGATGAAATAAAAAGGACACTAGTTAGTAACTTGAAGCCATATGAAGAAATAAGTATCTTGATGAAGGTAAACAGCTGGACAATTATAAAAGCTAGTATTATTTAACAATGCATTATAATTCTACTTTTTGTTTTCTACATGATTTAAGTAATACATTTTTAAAAACACAATTATTATTCTAAAAGCTATTATTATTGTAACTTGTTTGTAACTCCATATTTTCTTTTCTATATAATTTAAGAGACTAATGCATTTAAAACCCATTAGTTTACGTTTTAGGGCATATAATACATAAAGACATAATTTAGTGACATCAACAACCAAAAGGAGTGGGGATGTAGCTGTAAAGGAGTGGCGTTTCTGGATGTTATTGTAGTTAATATGTTATAAATTCAAATTAGTATTACAGCTTCAGGCTATGAAATGTAATCCCCATGGTAACCACAAAGAAAGTAGCCATAGAATAAATGCAAAAAGAAATGATAAAGGAATTTAAACATTTTGCTACAAAAAAAGTCAACTAAACACAAAAGTAAACAGTAATGCAGGAAATAAGGTACAAAAGGTTATAAAGTATAGCAGAAACAAATAGCAAAATGATCAAGAAGTCCCTCCTTATCAATAATTACTTTAAATGTAAATAGATTAAACTCTCCAATCAAAAGACAGATATTGACAGAATAGATAAAAACATATGATCCAACTATATGCTGTTTACAAGAGACTCACTTTAGATCTAAAGACACAAACAGATTGAAAGTGAAAAGATGGAAAAATATATTCATGTAAGTAGTAACCAAAAGAGAGCAAGGGCAGCTACCAATATCGGACAAAATTGACTTTACATAAAAAATACAAGACAAAGAAAGACATTATATATTAATAAAATGTTCAATACAGCAAAAAGATATAATAATTATAAACATTTGCGTACTTAATAACAGACCATCAAAATATATAAAGCAAAGACTGACAGGAATGAAAGTAGAAATAGACAGTTCTACAGTAATAGTTGGAAACTTTAATACTCCACTCTCAGTAATGGACAGAACAACCATATAGAAGATAAGCAAGGAAATAGAGGACTTAAACACAATAAGTTAATTCAATCTAATAGACATTTACAGAACACTTGAATTAAGTGTTGTTATGGAACACTTCAATAACAACAGCATACAAATTCTTCTCAAGTGCACATGGGACATTTTCCAGAATACAGACCATATGTTAGCCCGCAAATAATTCTCAATTGATTTAAAAAGATAGATACCACATGAAGTATTTACCCAAACCACAATAGGTTGAAGTTAGAAATCAATAACATAAGCAAAACTGGAAAATTGACAAATTTGTGAAAAACAAATAACACACTCTTAACCAATGGATCAAAGAAGGAATCACAAGGGAAATTAAAAAATACTTAGTGATAAATGAAAATGAAAATATAACATTCCCAAACTTATGAGACATAAGGAATGCAGGACTAAGGGGGAAATTTATAGCTATAAATACTTAGATTAATAAACAAGAAAGATCCCACAACAATATAACTTTACAAATTATGGAACTAAGAAAAAGGGAAAAAAACTAAACTCTAAGTTAGCAAAAGGAAGGAAACAATAAAGATTAGGTAGAAATAAATAACATAGAAGCTAGAAAAACAATAGAGAGAACCAATGAAACCAAAAGTTGGTTCTTTGAAAAGATCAACGAAGTTGAGAAACCTTTATCTGGATGGTCTAAAAAAGAAAGAAGACTGAAATCACTAAAATCAAAATTAAAGTGGGAACATTACTAATTATTGTACATAACTGAAAAGGATTATGAAAATCTGCATGTTAGCACATTGGATAACCTAGATAAAATGGACAAATTACTAGAAACACAAAACCAACCAAGACTAAATCATAAAGAAACAGAATTAGTAAAGAGACTGAAATCAGTAATCAAAAATCTCCTGATGAAGAACAGCCCTGGACTTGATGGCTTCACTGGTAGATTCTATCAAACATTTAGAGAAGAACAAATACCAATGCTTCTCAAACATTTTTAAAAAATCAAAGAGGAGGAAACACTTCCTAACTCATTCTGTGAGGCCAGCATTATCCTGATACCAATGCTAGAAAAAGACACTGTAAGAAAACTATACACCAATATCCCTTATGAACACTGATGCAAAAACCCTAAACAAAACATTAGCTAACCAAATTCAGCAGCATATTAAAAGGATTATACACCATGACCAAGTGGTATTTGTTCCTGGAATGCAAAGATCTTTCAGCATATGAAAATCAATCAATGTAACAGAATGAAGAATAAAAAACATGATCATCTCAATGGATGCAGAAAAAGCATTTGATAAAATTCAGCATCTGTGGAATAGAATAGAGAGCCCAGAAATAAACCTTCACATATACGGTCAAATGATTTTTAACTAAGATACCAAGATCAGTCAGTGGAGAAAAGACAGTCTTTTCAAGAAACTGTGTTGGAAAAACTGAATATATACATTAAAAAATGAAGTTGGGCCTTTAATACCATATACAAAAATTAACCGAAGGTGGATCAAAGACCTAAAAGTAAGACCTAAAAGCATAAACCTTTTAGAAGGATATAAGGCAAAACTTCATAACACTGGATTTGGCAATGATTTCTTAGATATGACCAAAAAAAAAAAAAAAGCATAGGCAATAAAAAAAGTATTCACAGAGTACTTCATGAAAAATTTAAAAATGTGTTCATCAAAAGATAATATCAACACAGTAACAAGGCAACCCACAGAATAGAGAAAATATTTGTATATCATATATCTGATAAGGGATTAATAATCATAATATATAGAGAACTCTAAAATTCAACAAAAAACAATCCAAATAAAAAAGTGTACAAGGGGTTGAATAGACATTCTCCAAAGAAGATAAACTCATGAAAAGATGTTCAACATCACTAATAATTTGGAAAGTGCAAATTAAAACTACAATAAGATAGACCTCACAGCTAGTAGAAATGCTATTATCAAAAACAAAAACAGAAACCCCAGAAAATAACGAGTGTTGTCAAGGATATGGAGAAATTGGAAAGCTTGTGCACTGTTGGTGGGAATATAAAATGGTACATCCACTGTGGAAAATAGTATGGTGGTTTCTTAATTAAAAATTAAAAATAATTAAAATTAATTAAATTAAAAATAGAATAACCATATAATCCAGCAATTTCACTTCTGATTTTATATACCCAAAATAAGAAAAGCAGAGTCTCAAAGAGATATTTGTGCACTCATTTTCAGAGAAGCATTATTCATGATAGTTAAAATGTTGAAGCAACGCAAGTATACATTTATGAAAAAGGGATAAGCGAAGTACAGTATATACACACAATGAAATATTATTCAGCATACATGCTACAACATGGATCCTTGAAGACATTATGCTAAGTGAAATAAGCCAGTCACAAAGAAGACAAATGCACGATTCCACTAATATGAGGTACACAGAGTAATCAAATTCAGAGACAAAAATTTGAATGATGGTTGTTAGTGGTTGGGGGAAGGTGGAAATGGTGGTTATTGTTTAAATGGGCAGAGTTTCAGTTTCACAAGATGAAAAGGTTTATGGACTTGGATGGTGGTGATGGCTTCACAACATTATGAATGTATTAATATTGAATTGTACATGTAATAATGTTTACGAAGTTAATCTAAGATTATGTGTAACTTGCAAGAAAACAATGAAAAAAAAACAATAGGCTTCTAGAGCAGACTCATTAGCCAAAAGAGTTCTGAACCCCATTCAATGTAACATGCTTTGTGGCCAGCTAATCCCAGAGAGACATTTCCTCCTCCTACCCTTTATCAGAGTGATCTCATTACATCTGGTAATCGGTTTCTATGCAGCCCCAGCCCTGGAGGGCTTCTGAGCTCTCAAAATGGAAATCAAGGGAAGGAAAGAAAACCCATGCCTTACCAGGGTCCAGGAAGGGGTGGCCTTCCCCAGCAGCACTGTAGCTCAGCTCCTGTGGCCCTGCCTATGGGATCCACACCTCTGCTACCGGGGCCTCGGAGACAAGTCCCATCGCTTGGAGTGGGGGTGACTCCAGGTAGATGTCTGGAGGCATGTCTGCCATTCCCACTGCTGCCAAGTCTTCCAAGAGCACTTCCTGTCTATCCATCTGGGGGGAAACACCAGAACCTATCACTCTAAAGTCTGGACCAGCAGCACCCAGTAGCAATATAATGCAAGACACACAAGCCATTTCAAATTTTCCAGTGGCTGTGTGAAAAATAAAAGAAATAGGTAATCTTAATACTACACATTACTTATCCAATATATCTAAAATATCATAATTTCAGAAAGTAATCAGTATAAATAATTAGTAATGAGATATTTAAGCTACTTTAGTTTTCATCCAAAGTCTTCTGAAGCGGTGGGCCTTTTATACTTACAGCATTTCCCACCTTGGACTAGCCGCATTTCCAGTGCTGAGACACACTTGGCTGGTGGCGACCGCACTGGCAGGGGAGGAGTAGGCCAACCCCCGTATGTGGTAGGCCAAACAAGGAGAGAGAGGAAGGAAGGGAAACCGCAGGCTCACTCTATGCCAGGGGCAGGAAGCGCTGCAGCAGTCCTGTTCAGGCAGGCTAACTGCTGAGCCCCATCATCACACCAGTCTTGAGCGCCCCTAATGCCCAACTAGAAGCACTTCCTCTCTCCTCCAAAGACGCTGCCCTGTGCTGAGCTGTGCATGCCCCAACCAGGCTTTACTGGGTGGTTCTGAATGGAGGTCAAGGCCACTGCCCCCAAGAGGTGTTTTGGATATGACAGCAAGTGGCGGCTGTCAGAATTTTTGTGGGCACAGATGGGAGTATAGGTCATGCACAGTGCAGAATTGTTCCGGGTCTCTACCAACTTCGGAGCGCCCCCTTCAAACAGTCATGTCGGCCAAAAGAACCTGTCAAGAACCTCACCCTGTTGGTCATATAAACACAAAATATTTTTTGCACATTTTTACCATGACTTAAATTTTCTAGGAAAGCACTATTTCGGAAATCAAGGAGAGACTATACTGCTAATTGTTTAGAAACGCCAAGCGTGTTTGCCTCTGGAAAACCACATGACCAGCATCCATACCACTCACAGTGCTTGAGCTCTTTCAGTCTGAATTGCCTTCGCAGTGAGTCTTTGCAGAGAGGCAAGCATCTGACCACTTCATGAGGTCTTCTGGTGCACTCATGCCCGGTCATGTGCACTCTGAAATGGTTACTAGTTTATAATAAACTATGTTCCTTTTCATTTATATACCTTCTAGACCCTACTTGACTTTGGGTTGACGTACATTTTTGTAACGAGCAAGATAGTAAATATTTTAGGTTTTCTGGTTCATGTTGTTCTGTTGCCTATTTTTTTTTTTTTGTAAACAACCCTTTAAAGGTAATAATCATTATTAGCTCATTGGCTATCAGAATAGGTCTTGGGCTACATTTGACCACAGATGAAAGGCCACTAATTATATTGATGTTTTTGATTTTGTGTATGTAAGTAGGTTACATTATCTATACATTTCATTTTAGGATAGTAAACGGGGCCTTACCAAATACTTGAGGAGTTGGATTTAATGGTTGAGAATCACTGACCCATATGTTGATTCCAAGAAAAAGAGAATGTGAAAATCGCTGCAGGGAAATCTCAGGACACAAAGATAAAACATCTAATAAAGTACCAGATGTGTCTCCTACTCTACTAGTCTAATTACCCAGATCCCAAAGTCTTTTCTCACCTGCTGCTCTGGTATCTCAAGTTCTCTCTGTAAGTCTTCTATCAGTGACACAACTCTTTCTCTGTTCTCTGGGCAATGTTCCCTCACCCAGGTCTCTATCTCCGTGGGCAGAATTGTTAGGAACTGCTCCAACACTAGAAGCTCCAGGATTTGTTCTTTAGAACGCATCTTTGGCTTCAGCCATTGACAGCAAAGCTCCCAGAGTTTGTTGAAAGCTTCATGAGGCCCCGCTGCTTCTTTGTACTGGAACTGCCTGAAGCGCTGACGGAAGACTTCAGAGTCAGTATCATATTCTTGAAACACTGAGCCCTGATTCAAGGAGGCCTGGATTGCACAACCCAGGGCCACAGCCATCGTCCCTTACCAGCAGTGTACAATTTATCTGGGGCCGGAAGTCTCAGATGTCAATTTGCTTCTTTGCGTAATTCTTGTGTGGGTGGGGGGGCACCTACAATTGAGGACCGAGCAAATGAGAAAGGAAAAACAGTGGTTACCAGAGGGCACCTTACCTCCCTCAATTGCTTAATTTTCACCAAAGCCCTAAAGGAGCAGATTGTAATCTTTTGGAGGCTTTGAGAATCTGATGGAAGCCATGGACTCTCTTCCCAGAAAAATATACATACACATGCAATTCTGCATACAGGTTTAAAATGTTTACGACATCTTCAAGACCATCCATGGGCCCTCCAGAACTGTGCTGTCCAATATGGTAATCAAAAGTCACATGTGGCGGTTTAAGCTTAAATATTTTAAAAGTAAAAATTCAGTTTCTCATTCATACTATTCACATTTCACATGCTCAGTAGAGAGTTCTATTGGACAGCTGTGTTAGAATTCCTTGGAACAAAGGCTAAGGATTCCTTCTGTTACATGAGCACCTATAAATATGGTGGCCTATATCCCCACTCCCAATCTAGTATCGATTTTCTTGTGTTTCTGAATATAGGTGAGCCACAGGAGAAACAGGGGAGCGACACTGAAATACTGGTAACCCTGAAAGTCCATCTAGCCATGAGTAACCATTAGTCGCCTTCAGTCACGGGCATCTTAGTGAGAGGCATGCCTTGCAAAGGCAGCGACTCATCAATCCTCATTCTTCTCCACTCGGGGTATGTGTAGTTCAGCCAACATCACCGTGACCCTCATGGCATTCCAAGTCGTTTTCTCAGGAGAAGAAGAGCCTACCCAGGGCAGGCCATCAGGAATCTGGACTGCATTCATAGCGAAGGACCGTTATCCCGTTCAGCACGCTGTGTGCCAGGTGCTGATCCAAGCCCCCTACATGCACTAGTTCATTTGGCCCTCACCCAACGGTAGGAGGTGGGTGCTAGTATAATGCCCTGAATACGGATGAGGGGACTGAGGCTTGAGGCTTAGGAGGACCGAATAACAGGTTCCAGGTCCCATCGCAAGTGCCAGTGGGAAATGGTGATGAGACTCCTGCAATGCTCACGTGTAAAAACATCCAAATGGCCTTAGTGCAACCTCTGAGGTCACAGAGGCGGTCACATATATGTCTCCGCAGGTGTGGAGACCAGTACTGCCAATGCACTATGGGTGCTCTCTCTCTCTGCATTTGCCCACACAGCTCACATACCTGTCCTTTTTGATGAGATCAAGAAAAAAAATACAACACTCCGGTCCCATCCCATCCCTGGGCTAGTTTCCTAAATGACACACAGGTCTCTCTCTATAACATCCAGTTCATAAATTGCCTGTGGCGGATCCAACTGCATGGAAAGGGAACAGCAAGCACTGCACCTGGCACAGAGGCAGCGAGTGCTCCAGGATGGTGATTGCTTTGGTCGCCAGGACTTTTTACCAAGAAGCTTCTTTTTCCCCTTCTAGGCACCTAACGGTCGCTAGAGGGCATCCAGGAACCGTGCCGGTTTTGGCTTGGGACCCACCTTTCATGTGCTGCAGCCTCACAGCTGGAGAGCCCTCCCCTGAGTGACCCAAACCTTCCCGCATGGCTTCCAAGGAATCGACCCTCCGGGTTTCTCTCCATCGGCCCTTCCGGATGAAAACTTCACTTCCCCTTAGGGCCGATGGCCTCTCCCCAAACCCTCCTGACAGAACCCACGCTCACAGGGCCTGTGGATAAAAAGGCGTGCAAAAAGAGGCAAGGGGCGCCGTGAAAAGAGGGCAGTAGGGGAAAGTTTATGGGGACAAATCTCGAAATGTCTAAAAGCGAGTTTAAAATAGGATGCCGTGGCAAGGGTGCAGCCCCAGCGCGGTCCCGAGTGAAGATATCCCGCTTCCTGGAGGGGCTCGCCCAGCCCCAGAGGACCCCCAGGAAGGCCCGTCCGTGTCGCAAGGAGCAGTGGCGGGGACCCGGGAGGAGAAGAGGCCCGCCACCCGTCGTTTCTCCCCACGACCGCCGCTGGGTCGGGGCTCCAGAAGACCAGTTCACGTTGCCCACACGGGATGGGAGCCCCACTCCCCGCGCCCCGGGGACGGCCACGCCCTCCATACGCTCCGGGACTCACCGCCTCGGCGCCCACGGCTCTCCCTGCTCACCCGGTGCAGTACGAAGGGCGCAGGCGCGGACCGCGCAGCCGACTACAACTCCCGGCAGGACGCAGGCCACCCAACCCGGCGCCTGGGCCCACAAGATGCTGACGTGGAGGAGGTGGGCTTTCCTTGGCCCCCACCAGGCCTCAAGCCGCTTTTGACCGGATCCCATTTCCGGTCCTAAACGCTTCTAGGTCCCAGGGGATTGGGTGGGACGAGTCATGTTCTTGATTCTAGCCAGGGCTTCTCTCCCATAGCCCTAGAGAAACTGGAGCGGGTGGGGGTGTAAACCAAAGTAAATTTTATACTGTAATAAAGAATAAAAGGCATTTATTTGAACAAAAAGGAGCTGCAGCCCAGGAGACACAGATTCAGGTAGCAACTTAAATTTTCTTCCGCTGAGACAAAGGGAAGGCCCTCTTTTATGGTGAGAGTTCTCACCTACTTCTCAATTAGGTCCTCTTTATGTAAATGAGATGTCCAAGTTATGTGGTTCTGATTGGACAGGGCAGTTCTCAGTCCCTTGGTTGGAAGAGGAAACCAGGGTTTTCCTGTAGTGGTTGACTCAGATGGGGTAAACAAATGGCTCTTATTATTTGTAAAATTTGTGCCTCAGTTGACCATGGGGAGTCCACCTTGGCAGATAAATTCCTTAATCGGGTTCACACCAAATGAATCTTTGTTCTCCATGTTAATTTGTAAATGTGTTGTGATGGGGCCAGTGATTTTCAAACCTCTCTGTAGGATTAATTTCTAGGGAGAGTTTGTTAAAAATTCAGATTTTTAAGCTTCTATATTGACACCCTGACACATTAGATCTCACATTAGTTTGAAAATTTGCATTTTAGTAAGCTTTCCTAGGGATTGTGACTCTGATCTTAAGCTCATGGGTCGTAATTACCTTGAACTACCTTTGTATTTTCTTCTCTTAAATACCTGAACTTTGACCTAGCTACCCCATGCATTCCTTTCAGCCACCAGTGTTCTCCTGTCTTTGGGTTCGCCCAATAGCTCTGCCTATTTTCTTCCAATGGGTCTGTCGCTGGTCCTACCCCTGGAGTCAAATTTTCTGCCAGAGTGATCAGCTGTGAGTTGTAGTGCAGCCAGGTGTGGTGTCATTTGATTAAGGCAATCGTCACTTTGCTCCGGAGCTAGTACTGTTGGTTTTTGGATACCAGACTTTATTGCTGGTACTTCCTGCGTGTGACCAGGATCTATTCCTGCATTGGTTCAAGACAGAGAGGAGAGAGCTGCTTGCGATTGTGCCTTCCACAAGCCCTGCTGTAAGCAAGAGAAGGAGGACCACCTTGAACCTGCAAAGCCCCACTGGAGATAGTTCTACCGCGGCTGTAGTTGGGCTTATGGGCTGACGCCTCCGGCCTGCCGACTCCTCCACAAGTTGTTTTTTGTTCCAAGGAGTTCTAGGGCACCTTAGCTGGCAGTAGCAGCTGGTTTCGGGGCCAAGGTGGTCCAGGAGTCTGATGATGACATTCGACCCAGGCTCCCAGGAGCGGAAAGGACACCCGATTGTGAAATCGCAGGTGTTCCTGCGCCTGGAGCCAGGAGCTGCTTCCGCTCCATTGAAGGCCCAGTGTAGAGGCCTCCAACCTGGCTTCTCTGGGTTCTACAGTTGGTCCCCTGGGGAAACCCTTAGATCTCCTGGAGCTTGGCCGTGGGTGGGTGGCATTGGCTGAGATGCACCCGATGAAGTAGATCCTGGACCTGTCGCTGTTGAAATAGTTCCTGACCATCCTATCCCAGGAGATCCACAGCAGAGCGAAGATGCTGCATCCACAGAGTTGCAAAGAAACTGTGACTCAGAGTAAATGCCAAGAGAGCTTGTGAGACTGAGGGAATAGGCGAGAGAGACAGGTTTCATCTGTGGTTGGTTGGCCCTGAGGACTGCCACCTCATGGAGTCTTACTTCCCCATTCCATTGTCTTGATTGTCCTGAGTAGACCTTACATGGCCAAGTGATTTCTTTCATAGTCAAGTCTGGAACTTTCATGCTCCAGACTTCCCAAGTACACAGAGTGAACAGTGAAGGGTGCCTGTTTCCACGGGGAGGCAGTGTCACTGCTGCAACAGTGCCAGCTCCGGAGTTAGATCAGAGGGGTTCAGATCCTGGCTCTGCTGGCTGCCTACTGGCTATGTGACTTTTGGCAGGTTACTATTCCGCCTTGGGCCTCCGTTTCCCCATTGGTTAAATGGCTTCTGGGATGGTTTTGAGGATTAAAGGGAGAGCAGTACGTAGTACATTTTGATCACACTGCTGGCACTAGTTAGTGCTTAAAACTTTTAACTATTAATGTCAGCAGTTCTGGTCTCCTCTGTAGAGCTGGGTCTCAGTTAATGGTGAACTTAAAAGAACAGTTTGGCCCTGACGCTTTGAGGTCACTGCCCCCAGGGTCCTCCATATTAGCTTATCCAGAGTGAGGAATGGGAGCAGCTAGAAAAGTTGGGGGCAAGGTATAAACTGGAAGGGACCCTCTCTCCACACCCTCCACACAAGTTACATATACATATTTTCACTTATGGACATGACGTCAAAAACCCCTTGTTGGGTGCAAAGAGAGAGACTGGTTTCCTGTTGAAGGTTTACCCTCAGATTCCTGTAATAGTTTCCCTGTCTAGTGGGCCCTGTTATGATGATGAAGGATGGCAGGTTGGCTACAAGTTACAAATGATGCGCTGGGAACAGACGTGCTTTTGGAGAAGGCTTTGCCTCAGGAAACGGCATGAAAGTTACTGAGCTTCGAGCTGGAGCCCAGAGACACTCAGGGAAGCCCTGATGCCTAGAGTAGTTGGTACTTCTTGGACCTGGCTCACTAGGTCCCATCAGCGTATAATTAGCAATGTAATCCAACTTTGTGATATCTTGTGGAAGGCCTCCATGAACTAAATTATGACGTAGGGGTGAAAAGTCACATACCGCCCTCCCCCCAAGTAGGACAGTGAAGAGATATCGCTAGCCTTGCTAGCTGAAAGAAAACTGCTTCTGTGGTTATACTAACAATTATTGAGAAAAAAAGCATTTCCCAGATCAATAGCTACATAACAGGTACCAGGGGGTGTGTTAATTTTCTCAAGCAATGCGATCACATCTAGGATGATAGCTGCAACTGGAGTCACCACCTGATTAAGTTTATACTAAACTACTGTGATCCTCCAAGATCCATCTGTTTTCTACACAGGCTAAATAGGCAAGTTGAATGAGGACGTAGTGGGAATCGCCATCCCTGTATGTTTCAGGTTATAGAAGGTGGCACTAGTCTCTGAAATCCCTCCAGGAGTGTGTATTGCTTTTGGTTTACTATTTTCCTAGGTAAAGGAAGTTCTAGTGGCTTCCACTTGGCCTTTCTCATCATAATAGCTCTCACTCCACAGGTCAGGGAACAAATGTGGGGATTCTGCCAGTTACAGAGTATATTTATTTCAATTATACATTCTAGAAATGGGGAAATAACCATAGAATGAGTTTGGATACTTCACGGTCCCACTGTGAGACAGACCTGAGCTAAAATTCCATTGATTACCTGACTTCCATAAGCCCCCACTCAGACCGGTAGACCACAGTAACACTTTGGGTCTCCTGGGATTAGTATCAGTTCAGAAGCAGTGTTCAGTACTCCCTGAAAAGCCTAATTATTTCCTTTTCCCTAATGCACAATCAGCCTGGTAAAAGGCCATAGGTCTCTTTGGGGAAGGCTGGCAGAAAGATTAATAGTATATATTTTTGGCAATATAGAGGGGGTCCTTTTTTAAGGCACCTGGCCTCCCCTTCATCCAAGGGGTTCTGGGTCTGTAAACTAGCCGAGGTCTGGAATTGATTGGGGCTCATGACTCTCTGTTTTGGTGATTCAAATGATCCTTCAGTGCACTTGACCTAGAACTCTTCGCTTATAGAGCTCGAATAAGAGTTTAGTAGACTCCCCCTTTATTTCTCTTCAAGGGACACCATGATCAACTAGCCAACACCATAAGTCTGCGTGAGTCAGACTGTTGTCACTACTGCTTTGACTCTACTGTCCATTACAGTAACTACGCCTACTTTGTCCTTTGTCAGTTAAGTGTCCTCGCTTGGCTCCTGCCACCCTGGGATCCAGTTTTGCCCATTGCATTTAAGGATACTGGTTCAGTGGCTGTAGTTCCCACTGTAATTTCTGATCTACAGAGAAGAGTGAGCACAGAGCTCCTCAAGGTCGTTGGGTTTCCCCTCACAAAAGTATTTCTCGCAGTCGTGAAAGGTGTGTTCCCCTGGGGCGAGTGAACAGATCTTACATGATAAATCCACTTTTACATTCTAATCTCCCTACGTTTTCGTATACAGCATACCAAGGCAGTTCTAGCATTTCAACTTCATTTAGTGTATGTAGATCACCTTTCGGTACATGTTTCAGCCAACCAACCAACCAACCAACCAACCAACCAACCAAAAGTGATAGTGCCTTCTCTAACCCCTTGAGCTGCATCTTTGAGTTCAGAATCATTGCTTAGTGGACCCATATCCATAGATTCAGCCTGATCCAACTTTATGTTCCCACACTCTTCATATCCATTTCCACACAAATTCCCCAGATTTCTGTCTGTATAAATTGGAAAAGTCACAGTTCTCTTGGTGTGTAGTACCCCTCCTCATGGGTCACGTTGTATACTTCACCTTTTGGGTACTCAAGGTAGTTATCAGTCTAGAAACAAAGACAGCTGTTGAGGGGTAGATCCTGAGGATAAATTGCATACTTCACCTTTTGGGGCCTGCTGGGACTCAAGGTAGTTATCAGTCTAGAAGCAAAGACAGCTGTTGAGGGGTAGATCCTGAGGATAATCAGCAGTGTCTTGAAAGTCAGCTATCTCAGGGGACACAACTAAAAGTCTTCAGACGAAGCAGGGTTAACCTCCTCAGACAAGGGTGGAAGGACTGCTTCTATTGGCAGAGAAGACTCAGCAGAATTTAGGGGTTCAGTGTCCTTAGTTTTTGGATTTGCCCATATGTTCCGATTCCAATGTTCAGGATCCCATTTCTTTCCAATCAATATTCTCACTTTAACAGAAGATACCCCGTGAAGTTTGGAATTTACTTTGCATTGTAAATTAGCGACTGGCAAAATGA